CAAGAACCTGTTAAAATGCTTACTTTAAACAAGGCAGTGTTGGTGCTCTGTAGTTAGAAAGATTAACCTGATAAAGAGACTGTCTGAAAGAAGGCCACAGCTTAGCAGCAGGGCCCAAGGCCTGGAATTAGCTAAACGACCAGTAAATACTGTGCCAGCTTGGCACGGTGGCTCATGCCTGTAATCCCAGCACTTTAGGAGGCCGAGGTGAGTGGATCATGAGGTCAGGAGTCCAAGACCAGCCTGTCCAACATGGTGAAACCCCATCTCTACTAAAAATACAGATATTAGCCGGGTGTGGTGGTGCATGTCTGTAGTCCCAGCTACTCAGGTGGCTGAGGCAGGAGAATCATTTGAACCCAGGAGGCGGAGGTTGCAGTGAGCCAAGATCGCGCCATTGCAATCCAGTCTGGGCAACAGAGCGAGACTCCGTCTCAAAGAAAAAAAACAGCTATGCCATAAGTTGCTGATACCTGATGTAGGATGTATCTAGATTAGTATAGGAAGCTAAAATAATTCATTTCCTTCTTCCCAGAGTTGGAAGGGTTGGAAGGCTGTTCGAATTAGGTGATGTGAATTAGATGATGTGTTCTGACACTCCACTCCTTTCCAGTGTGAATTGTTTGTGAGAATTTCCTAGTAGACTGCTGTTTTGGACCGCTCAACAAGTTAAAAAAAAAAAGTATCATCACGAGATACAGTCAAAGCTGTGCTCTTAACAGTTCTTAACATTTCTTGCAGTCTTACAAAGATGGACTTTTACATTTTATAGTAGGTGAGGTGAACAACAGTGGAAGATAAAATGTGTGGAAGAAAAATACGTCTAATCATTGGAGAAGAACTCAAAATAATGTGGTGATGTGTAGCCATCATTATTTCTTCTTGAATGTTTTCTTTAATATTCATTCATGTTCTACTTCTGTTTGTTTTCTTTTTCCCTCTTTCTGTTTTTAATTTTTTTTTTTTTTTTGGCAACTGAAGTGTTTGTGTATTAACCATTTGTATGTTAGTCTCAGTAATTAACATTCTGGACTCTTGTTTTTGCCAGGTGCTCTGTAGTGAGTATATAGTGTACTTTGCCAGCTTTTAATTGGCATTAGAGTTTTGTTTAAAGTGAGGTTTTTAAAAATATTTTCCATATAGGTTATTGATTGCTCTCAAATTGGGTCTGTTTTGCTACCTGGCATAATCAGAAAATAACTTACTTTGGGCTGGCCATGGTGGCTCATGCCTATAATCCCACCACTTTGGGAGGCCGAGGTGGGCAGATCACCTGAGGTCAGGAGTTGGAGACCAGCCTGACCAAATGGTGAAATTCCATCTCTACTAAAAATACAAAATTAGCTGGGCCTGGTGGCACATGCCTGTAATCCCAGCTACTGGGGAGACTGAAGCAGGAGAGTCGCTTGAACCCAAGAGGCAGAGGTTGCAGTGAGCCAAGATTGCGCCATTGCACTCCAGGCTGGGCAACAAGAGAAAAACTTCGTTTCAAAATAAATAAATAAATAGATAGATAGATAACTTAATTTGGAGTTTTTAGCAAGGAGACACACTTGCTACTGCCTTCTCAATGGAAGAATAGCAGTGCTTTATTGGAGAAGTCTTGTCTCTGTTCTTTAATTCCAGTGTATTTTGGGGAAGGGTGCAGTAGAATAAAACAAGATTGGGAGGAGGTAGACATTCACCTGTCTTAGATCTCTGAGTCATACCTTATCATCAGTGGAATGGTACATGTCACTTGGCACTTATATTTGGTATTTTAAACTGGAGCACTATTTATTGTAACTCATTTGATCATCATAAATCAGTTTAGACTGCTGTTGGATTGGAGTTTGTGTGTGGAGACAAGATAGGGAATCTGGTTCTTTCAGGTATTTAGAATCCTTGGAACATGAGGTTCAAGTATTCACCAGGTTTTATTTTGAAATAATTCAAATTTATGGAAGGTTAAAATATACATGTATTTCCTATCCCAATCCCCGGGCTGCTGACTGGACTAGTCCTAGTACTAGTCTGTGGCCTGTTAGAAACCTGGCTGCACAGCAGGTGAGCACATGGGAGCTGGCATTACCACTTGAGCTCCGCCTCCTGTCAGATCAGCAACATTGGATTCTCATAGGAGCACGAACCCTCTTGAGAACTGCTGATGAGAGTGAACTAGGTTACACACTCCTTATGAGAACCTAAGGCCTGATGATCTGAGGTGGCACAGTTTCATCCTGAAATCATCCTGCCCACCCTCCCCCCAATGTAAACACATGGAAAATTTGTCTTCCACGAAACTGGTCCCTGGACCTCTTAGTAAGATTAACCCATTGTTAACATTTTGTGCTATTTACTTATTCATTCTCTGTCATGTTATTTTTTTCTGAATCTTCTGAGATTAAGTTGCTTACATGATGTTCCTTTACCATGTAATATTTCAGTATATAGTTTCTAAGAACAAGGACCTTCTCTTGTTTAACTATGTTACAGTTATTAAATTAAGGAAATAACGCAGTTATCTAATACATAGTCTACATTCACATTTTACTAGTTTTCTCATTAATTTTTTTTTTTTCTTTTGTGTGTGAGACAGGGTTTTGCTCTTGTATTCCAGGCTGGAGTGCAATGGCTCACTGCAACGTCCGCCTCTCAGGTTCAAATGATTCTCCTGCCTCAGCCTCCCGAGTAGCTAGGATTACAAGCGTGCCACCATGCCCGGCTCATTTTTGTATTTTTAGTAAAGATGGGGTTTCACCATGTTGGCCAGGCTGGTCTCGAACTCCTGATCTCAGGTGATCCACCTGTCTTGGCCTCCCAGAGTGCTGGGATTACAGGCGTGAGCCCAATAGTGTTCTTTAGTGATTTTTTTTCCTGTCCAGAATCCAACCCATAATCATTCATTGCATTTAGTTGCCACATCTCTTGATTCTTCTTTAATCAGGAACATTTCTTCGGCCTTTCTTTGTCTTTAATGACATTGACATTTTTGAAGAGAGTGACAGACCATTTATTTGTAGAATCTCCCTCAATTTGGGTGTATCTGATGTGTTCTCATGATAAAATTTAGGAATGTAGTTTTGGCAGGAATGTTACACTTGTGTCCTTTTCAGTGCATCACATTAGGAGGCACATGTCCACTTGTTCCCTTGTCAGTGATACTTACTTAGATCTTTAGGTTAATGTGATACCTGCCAGGTTCCTCTACTTAAGTTAATATTTTTCCTTCTGTAATACATAATTTGTGGGAAGACACTATTAGACTCAATGTATACCAGTCCTCATCAAACTTTCATTCACAAAGAGTTTTAACATTCTTTGGTAACTTTGTCTGAATCAAGTTATTACTATGATGGTAATAATTCAGATATTTAATTGGGTTTAGATACTTAACCAGGTTTAGGTATTTAATTGCAGGAGGTCAGTACTATAGTAGGAACTGCTTTGAGCTATTGGATTCCTTAGCATTATAAAGTGCTTTGTGTTGAACAAGAATGTCTCCTGAGACTTCTATACACTGTTTCAAGTTCTGTACTCTGTACCACAGGAGATGAGCCTGCTTTTTTTTGTGTTTCTCTAACTGCCCTTCAAAATGTGTTCTTTTTTGTCTTTTTGCTGTTACTTGCTTTAATTTCATATAGTCACTTCTTGTAAGAGATGACTTTCCTGAATTTATAACCATCCTGTTGGTTTTCTGATAACACTCATTCACCATCAGTATCACACTTAACCTATGGTATCCAAATCTGTATACTAATTCCAGATACAGTTTGATCTATCAGTACAATGGATCACTGTTTGCCTGTAATCTAGCTTTATGCTCAAGAGCATCAGGTTTTGTTTTGGTTTTTTTTTTTTTTTTTTTTTTTTGAGACAGAGTCTCGCTCTTTGGCCCAGGCTGGAGTTCAGTGGCCGGATCTCAGCTCACTGCAAACTCCGCCTCCCGGGTTTACGCCATTCTCCTCCTCAGCCTCCCCAGTAGCTGGGACTACAGGTGCCCGCCACCTCGCCCGGCTAGTTTTTTGTATTTCTTTTTAGTAGTGATGGGGTTTCACCGTATTAGCCAGGATGGTCTTGATCTCCTGACCTCGTGATCCGCCTGTCTCGGCCTCCCAAAGTGCTGGGATTACAGGCTTGAAAGCATCAGGTTTTGGAGACAAATAGATCTGGCTTCAGGTCATAGCTCTGCCACTTAACTAGCTCTGTGGTCTTGAACTCGTTCCTAACATCTCTGAACCAGTTTTGTCATCTGTAAAGGGTTGGTAATAGTAGCACCTGACTTTTAAGGATGGAATGAAGATTAAGTGTACATGTAAAACTGTCAGTGGTGTCTGTTATATTCTAAACACCTATAAAATGTTAATTATTATTATACAGAAAGCATGCTTCTGTTTTATAGCCCAAGATTGGTACAGTTTATGTTTTAGCCGTTGTACTGCAGACTCAGTTAAGCCTGCGGTGAAGTCAGAAAGTTTTAATCAGTTCCACTGAAGCAAGTTAGACTCTTGGACAAATATTTTAACTTTTTATGATAGAATACCTTTCATACAACTCTTATGAGTTACAACGTGTCTCCTCCTGCTGTCACAAAACAATCTCATTCTCCCTAGTCTGGTGCTGTGATATGTGTACTTGGGACTCTAAAGGCATTCCACTGACTATCTGTTTGTAAAAGCGTTCTTTACAAACGCTTTTATAGCTGTTTATTCTAAATAAATTAGCTAGACTTAAGGAGAACAGAAAAATACCTACTTTTGCTTACTTTGGACAAAATGATTATATATAAAGTAATCCTTACTCACCTAGTCTATGGTCAGGTATAGAAAAATCTATGGATTAGTTATATGCGTGTTAATAACGTCGAATACCAATTGGAATGTTTTTGTTTTTCACTTTTCCTTTAGCCACCCTTTTAACCTAGCTATAATGGCGAAAGCACTCCTTAAAATTTTAATGATTAAAATGTGGTACATAAATTTTATATGTCTCAACTCTGTTTCATGTTAAATGTGTTACAGGAATGAATCTGAAGTCTGCTGCAGTAAAACACTGAAGGCTTTAAAATGTTTTCTTGCATAAAACTCAAAACTTTTAAGTAGCTGCTTATGAGGATAGGGAAGGCAGAAAGCTAATGTCTGTCTCAAGATACAGGACAGCTGTTTGCTCATCAACCTCAACTGTGTGAGTAGAGACTTAAGCCTGTAACCCTATGTAATTGGGCATAGTAACTTAATTTTATTTTTTTAAATTTAAAATGCTTGAAGATAGACCTAAGTCATCATGATGAGACATTTTTAGGGTGTATTTTTTCTGGTGGGTAGGATACTGAGGGTGGAGTGGGTGGTAGACTTTTATTTATATAATATTTTGTGCAATAACATTTATAACTAATGTTGTTAGTGACCACACATCTTTTATCAGAATTATTATAAGCATTGGAATCTGCATTACTAATTTTATTATTGTGAAGCAAAAGATTGTAATTCTTTAGATTGCTGTTTATTTTGCAGTTGATTTCAGCCATTTAAAGTTAATATTTTGACCAAACAACCATAAAAAAATTGCTTGGGATTATGATGTTTGATATTAATATAGAAAATTCCTTCTGGAAATAATAATTTAAATTATAATAATTTTGAAAACTAGTATTTTTTAAAATCGCTTTATTTAATCAAAGAGTGTATCAAAATACAAGCACGCTGGTTCCCTAAATGCAGTTGAAAGTTTTTTAAATTTGCCAATTTTATTTTGTAAAGTACTTTGAAAAATAGAAATGCCATTGAAGAAAAATTTCTCCTTTTCCTTCCTTTAAGGCATTAAAGTTAACACCTTGAGAATCCATGGTGGGGTGGTGTTTTTTTTTTCTATCCTCCTTCCCCCACTTTTTCTTTATGGATTTAGAAGTGAGACTGAATTGGATGTTTTTTTCTCTCTCTTTAGAAGAATGCATTGTTTGTACAGATGGAGTGATTATAAAGCATTGTAGTGAGCAAAATGATGAGCATGTAGACAGAGACTTATAAAATCTTGTTAACTATTCACTGAGGCATGGAGTAGAAGGAATGTTGCGCATTTGTATGCACTAAAATGAAATTACTTTCTCTTTCATAACACAAATGTGTTGACTGAAGGAAAATCAAAATGGACTATCTTTAGAATCAGTGAATGAGAAAACATTTAGAAAATGTGAAGAATACACATTGAATATGGATATCCTTTTTTCTTTTTTTTTTTTGAGGAGTCTCACTCTGTTACCCAGGCTGGAAGCAGTGGCACCATTTCTGCTCGCTGCATCCTCCGCCTCCCAAGTTCAAGTAATTCTCCTGTCTCAGCCTCCCGAGCAGCTGCGACTACAAGCATGTGCCACCATGCCCAGCTAATTTTTGTATCTTTACAAAAGAGGTGGAGTTTCACCATGTTGGCCAGTCTGGTCTCAAAACTCCTGACCTCCAGTGATCTGCCTGCGTTGGCCTCCCGAAGTGCTGAGATTAGCAGTGTAAGCCACCTTGCATGGCCGAATATGGATATTCTTAATGAAAGTGGTCAAAGGATACATGGCAGAAATGGAGAGACACATGTTGCTGCATTCAAAACTAGTGAAAAACCCAGAGGTTTCACTTTGCCCCATTATTTTCTTTTCTGTATTGGTCAGTAGATGTATAGCCCACTGTATAAATCTCCAGAGGTTATCTAGTTCCTAATCTTTCAGTAGTTCTAGAGAAGAAATATTTATAATCTTGCTTAATGATGACAAGCCTCACTTTAATGCAGTTTTAGGGTCTGTAATATGAAATTTAAGTCTTCATTTACAGCCATTTGGCATTTCCCTTGAAAAGCCACGTTTAATTTGGTGCTGCTATTCTGTGAACGGTACTTCAACAGCCTTCCCTCCTCTTTTTGATCAGTGTCAAAAATAAGGAAAATTCAAGGTGAGAAAAGCCTTTGGAACATACTAATGAAACTTTGATTTTAAAATGAGATTAGGAGAGAACACACAATAGGGAAGCGAGTTGCTTTTATCACTGTAGAGAGTTTAGGGGGAAATTGTATGATAGTAAATTGGTCCCAAATTTCTTTTTATCTCTCTGAGATGATTCTCTGTATTCTGTTCTATATTATTGTTCTCTCAAGGGGGTAAAGTTAGAAGCTAATTAACTTTACTGGGATAGAAAGTACATGTAGGAATATGTGAGTACCATATATAAAATTCGTCTACTTTATTCCCTCTGCCTTGCTCTACCCTTTACCTTACCGCAATAGTGTAGTCTTCTCATTGATCCTGTACCCAATTCTGTCATTTGGTTTTGCTTAGATTTGTAAATGTATTTGAGCTTCTTTTACTGTTGTATAATGCAGTGTATTAAAATGAAGTTTTTGGGCTATGTAAGGCCATGTAATTTGGTCATGTATGCAGGCCATAGAGTCTGGCTGCCTGAGTTCAGATCCTAGGTGTCCCTTCTGACATCTCTGTGATACTAAGCAAATTACTTAAACCTTTCTGGGCCTCAGTTGTATAATCTGTAAAATAGATACAGTAATAATTTACTACCTGGTGGGATATTGTGAGGTTGATTGAATCATCAATGCTTGCAAATTATTATCATTATTAAACTTGTTTGTTCTTTGAGAGGAGGAATACTAGGTAGCATATTATAAATGCTCCAAGTAATAGATTTTAAGGCTTTAGGATTAAGAATTTGAACATCACAAAGTAGGGTATTTTCAATTAAGGTATCATGAGAAACATCTACAGAAGAGTAGAATAGAAATCTTTACTCCTAGCCTGGCGTGGTGGCTCACCCTGTAATCACAGCACTTTGGGAGGCTGAGTCGGGTGGATCACGGGGTCAGGAGTTCAAGACCAGCCTGGCCAACATGATGAAACTTCCATCTCTACTAAAGATACAAAAAATTAGCCGGCCTTGGTGGTGGGCGCCTGTCATCAAAGCTACTCGGGAGGCTTGAGGCAGGATAATCGCTTGAACCCGGGAGGCAGAGGTTGCACTGAGCTGAGATTGCATCATTGCACTCCAGCTTGGGTGACAGGGAAAGACTCCATCTCAAAAAAAAGAAAAAAAATCTTTACTCCCTGCCTTCCTGTCTCAGTCTACTGTATGCATTAGCCCCATTTCACATTCTCAGTAGCCACATGTGGCTGATGGCTACTGTATTGGACAACACTGTTCTAGATAGTTGGTTTTACTAGGTAATGTATTTGCATTAAACATGACATTTATTGATGACACAATTCTCTCTGTCTGGAACATGAAAGATTGGCTCCTGCATCAGATAGTACTCCACCAAGAGGAGAAGAGGAAGCAAAAAATATTTCTTCAAGAATCTTGGTGAAGGTTAGGTGTATTTTCTTTGGGTTTTATATAACGTGATTTTTTTTTTTTTTAATTTGGAGTCTTGCTCTGTGGCCCAGGCTGGAGTGTATAGCGTAATCTTGGCTCACTGCAAGCTCTGCCTCCTGGGTTCTAGCCATTCTCCTGCCTCAGCCTCCCAAGTAGCTGGGACTACAGGTGCCCACCACCACACCAAACTAAATTTTTGTATTTTTTAGTAGAGATAGGGTTTTACCGTGTTAGCCAGGATGGTCTCGATCTCCTGACCTCGTGATCCGCCCGTCTCGGCCTCCCAAAGTGATGGGATTATAAGCGTGAGCCACTGCACCTGGCCATAAAGTGATTTTTAAACAATTTATAAAATGTAGTGTAGTTATTTTTATTTTTCATTTTTATTTTTGAGATGGAGTTTCACTCTTGTTGCCGAGGCTGGAGTACAGTGGCACGATTCTCTTGCCTCACCCTCCCAAGTAGCTGGGATTACAGGCATGCGCCACCATGCCCAACTAATTTTGCACTTTTAGTAGAAACAGGGTTTTACCATATTGGTCAATCTGGTTTCGAACTCCTGACAGGTGATCCACCCGCCTCGGCTTCCCAAGTGCTGGGATTACAGGTGTGAGCCCCCGCGCCCAGCCTTGCAGTTATTTTTGAATAAAGATATTGACAGGTGAGTCAAGCAGTGTTGCAAGTATTGAAGTCTGTCAGTGACTGCTTCTCAAATTAAAGTGAGCCATCTATTTATATGTGATATGGAAACTAATTTTTGCATTTAAATGCTAATAGATTTCTTATCTAGACGCACCTTTGAAGATGAGCAATGTGATGTGTGGTACATTAATTTAGAGTCAGGAAGGACTAGGTTTCAGTTAGTGGTTTTATTGTGAGATAAATTTATCTGTTTGAGATGATTCCACTAAAGGTTAAAAGTAGTCTAGATTTCAGCACTGATAATCACTTTTACTTTGTGCTTAGAAATAGTATAGGTGTTAGGGGAGATACCAAAGGATAGGAACAAGGTATTAATGTTATGTTCTAAAAGAAATCACTGTTTACTGGATTCTAATCAGGGACCAGAACACATGGAAATAGAAATCCATTCTAACTAAGGAAAGAAAAAAGGATTATTTCGAAAATCTTTGGAAAATCATATGTAATTGAATTGCAAGTATGTAGCCTTGGTAACTTTTTGTGTGTGTGCTATTCTGTTTCCTCCCCACCTCCACCCATGACTTTAGATAGGTTCATTGGGTTGGTGTTCATCCAGGTCTAATTAGCTTGTCTGGAGGGTTTATCCCATGGTACTAAAAGGGCAGCAAGAGCTGATTTATAGGTATACAGATTGTCTTAGAAGGGAATTTTAGCAGGGAGGCAGTGAATGGCGTGTGTAACTTCGGTTTCTTTAACTGATTACAGAGGAACATGTATGAGAATGTTACCTCCCTTATACAGATTTGGTGAGGCCTAAGTCAGATAATCTATATAAAGTGCTTAGCCCAGGGCCTAGTACATAATAATGAGTAGACGTTTTCAGTGAGCACTTACTCTAATATATACCTAATTATATAGTTTTTCTGACCTGATTTTTTTAATTTAGGGAAAAAATTTGGAGAATTTAGTAGGATTAATTGGTGACTTATGGATATTCACTCAAAACATCTCAATTCAAAGTGGGGTGGCTGCCTAACTGAGATTTACCTCTTACAACTAGTGGCCTAGATATGCTCTAAAGTGTTCATGGTATAGTATATCAACCCTACCTCAGATTGGCTTACTGTTGACCATTGTTGAATTTGCTCTTAATCAAGAACTTAAGAGTGTCCAAATTTTTTA